CCGTGTCTGCCCGCCTGTTACCCTGGGGAGAGATTCATCTTGAAGTCTGGCCTCTGCTGCCACCAGCCCCGCTCTGCAGCCCTGCAGGCCACGGAGCAGCCGGACAGCAGGGCCAGGCCCGGGGAGGCAGCTGGACCCACAGCCCGAGACCAAGTTCCAGGTGCCTCACCGGAGCCCCTGGCCGAGCGGGGCGTGCTCCCACCTGGTCCTCTCCCCAGCCCCGAGCCACACGCAGGCTGAGCGAATCCAAGCCTCACAGCTCCCCTGCCCGCTTCTCAAACCAGTGCCCCCCCAGACACGGCTGGAGGCTACACGGACCCCGTGAGCTGCGACGGGACAGGCTGGGTGCCACCAGGACCTCAAGTCAAGCTGTGTCGCTCTCTCAAGGTGCCCACCCTCTCTGGTCCCAGCAGGCAGCTTTGCACCAAGGAGGCAGGAAGCAAGCTAGACAGAACCCCCCCCCCAGCTTCCTGTTCCCCAGCACAGCCCCTGGAGAGAGGGCGGGAGCGGAGCATGGCCGCCTGGGCCCCGCTTGCAGAGCTGCCTTTATCTCAGGCTCCCTGGCAGCCTCCTTGCCGATGTCATCGCAATGCTGTTTATTTGCTAACAGGACACAGACTCGGTCCGACCTCCAGACCCTCTGCCGGCCAGGATGGCTCCCGATCAACGTTCCCTCGCACTCTCTCAGCCCAAACCCCCAGATGAACACGTAAGATGAGAAAAGGGCTGTCTGTCTGTCCGCCCAAGCCGTCCTGACAGTCACATCTGCTTTTTGGACACGTATTTGTGAGCTCTTCATGTTTTATTGGCTGGGCGGCCTTGGGCGGCCCACCCAACCTCTCTGAGCTCAATTGGAGGGAACATCTGTCCTCTAGGGTAACGTGGACCTGGCCGTGACTGCTGCCCACGTGACTGCCACCCCTGCTTGTGGGTAATCCTACAGCAGTGGCTACCCACAGGCAATTCTGTCCCCTGGGGACACTCGCTCATGTCTGGATACTCGCTCATTTTTGGTCATCACAACTGGAGGAGCTCCTGGCATCAAGTGGCTGGAGGCCTGGGATGCCCAGACGGCCCCCAACACAGAACATCTGTCCCAAGATGTCAGTAGCACCGTGGCTGAGAAGACTGAGACGAACCTCGCACACTGTCATGAGGGTCAGTGGGGCAATCTCGAGTCGAAGTGCCTAGAACAGTGCCTGGTACAGTGGCCTGAAGCTAACAGTGGCTGATGTTACTTTCATTGCCTGTTCCTCCCCTTGGCCTCGAGAACTCAGAGTGGAGATCACAGTATCTAATTTCCAACAAGGACACGGAGGCCCAGGAAAGGGGCGGGCTGACCCAGAGCTGGACCAGGACCCTGGCCCCAGGGCCTCTGAGGAAGCCAGTTCTGACGGAGCCCTGACATCGTCCACAGTCTCAGAAGCTTCGGGTCCTGGGTCCCGGGCTGTCTGAGCTGGCGGGTAGGGGTGCTCCTCAGGCTGGCAGTGCTCCTCCGAGCAGCCCCGCCTCCTCCCACAACTGCCATGCTGGTGGCGGGGGCGGGGGGACACACAGAGGGCACAGAGACCTGCCGGGACGCAAATGCTCAGCTCTTTCAGCCCTGCTGTTCCAAGGAGGCAGAGGAAAAACACGTCACCCTGACTTGGGAGGGTTGCCCTGCACCTCCGAGGAGGGAGACACCATGGGCAGCTGTGCAGGTGGCAAGGCCGAGGCTGCCTTCTTGGCAGAAGCTTGGGACTGAGCCCCAGGGTGCCAGGCACCTGGTGGAGCTCGGTTGATGGCCAGCTTAGACCCATCACCCCTTGGAGGTCCTGACAGCTGGTGGGCAGCCGTGGTCCCTAATTCACAGTGAGGACCAACGCCCTGGGAGGTAAACAGAGTTGCCCAAGGACACTGGATGTTCCCAAGTCCCAGCCCTAGGTTTGCATCCTTTCAGTACATGGCTGCCCAGCTGGTACCTACCAGGTGCCCGGCAGCTTTCACCAGCTTATGGGTGGAGAAAGGGAAGGCCTCATTGCTCAGGTCTGCATCAAGCACCTCCTGGAGAATGGCCCGGCTGTGAGTGAGAACAAAGTTGGTCAGTCAGTCAATCAACAAATACTCGCTGGGCACTCCTGTGTCTTTACTCTGTGCTGGGAGGACACTGGGGACAGAGCAGCGAGCAGGACAAGTCCCTGTCCTCATGGTGCAGACCCAGAGGACATGGTATTAATGAAAGCACACCAACATGAATATACACCAGTCAGCTAGGAAAGCCACCCTCGGCACTAGCGAGGAAAGAGCAGCAGACCCTGGTGGAAACCAGACCCACACACCCGCTCTCAAGGTGCTCCTTCCTCAGCCGGGTGAACCAAGGCCCGGGATAGTCATCTATCCAACACCAGATAAGCATCTAATGCCACCTCCATCCCGCAGGAGGCTAGTGTGTGAGCTCCCGAGGGCTGGGGCGCCCTCCTCACCACCCCTACCCCACGGTGCCCAGCATTCTGACTCATGCTTGCGCCTCCCTGTGTCCATGAACACCTTCCCTTCCTGGACACCTTGCCCCCTCGCCTCCCTCCTGGCCTTACTTAGTTCACTCCTCCTGCACCCTCCCCCCTCCCACCCACTTCCCCTGCCCCTGCCCTTAGTCATTCCCTCCAGGCTTTGCCCAAATGCCCCCATTATAGACCTGGGTCTCCACGGGCAGCCCAAATTCAAACACTTGACAGCTCAAGTACACACCTACTCAGAGTTTCTCTGATTGTTCAGCAAGCACGCACTGTGCGTCTGCCATGTGCCCCCGAGCAGTGCCCACGAGGGCAGCTAGGACTTGGACTGGGCGGGAGGCCGGGCAGTCAGGACCAGCTGGGGAGGAGACGTTGGCACAGAGCTGCCAAATCGCAGGCGCCGGCTGGTGGCTTTTAACACGATGTGCTTGCCCCCTTGTCCCCCAGCCCCGGGGTTCCTCCTCCGAAGCCCAGCCAGAGGGACCTTTCCAAAGTGCACACCTGCTCAGGTGCGCCTCTGCCTAAGACTCTCCTGCCCGAGGGCCTTCCGGGCTTCAAGGGTGGGAACATTCTATAAATACTTAGAGAATAAATGAGTGAGTGAGAGAGTGATCCGCCCGTATACCCTCACCAGAGGTGTTTAGGGAGTGTTTAGAAAGGGGCAGGTGACTTCTCAGCGCAGGGCAGTATTCTCAGCCCAGGTAGCCGGTAGAGCCAGGGCCAGGCTCTGCCCACTGCCAGATTTACTACATAAATCTGAGATGGTATCAATGGCCCAGAGATACCTCTCAGGCCCTTTCATGACCCCTGAACCCTCACGTACTGACTCTCTGTAAGGTCAGTCTGATTATCACCTTAAGGGTTTGTCTGATTTTAATACTTTGAAATGATTTACCCTGCGGGGTATCTCTAGCTTCCCCAGATCGCTTAGCTAAACAGAATATTCCCTTCTGGGCCAGTAAGGGCTTCTGCCCCGGGTCCCAGTTGGAGGGACTAGAGTCAGGTCCCCAGGTGCACCCCGCCCTCTCCTCACCTGGCAGGGCCCTGGATGCTGATCATGCCCAGGTCCTCTGAGCTGTCAATGAGCTGGCACCGGAACTGCTGGTCCTGCAGCACCGTGGTAATGTGGGACCAGTTGTGCTGGGCCACAGCCCCGCCCACGGCCAGGTAGAAACCGTCCCCTGGAAGGGAAGCAGCAGAGTCAGAGCTGGATTGTGGGGTGGTGAGGCAGGGAGGAGGGGCGGTGAGGGTGGCCTGAGAACCCCGGAGTGAGAAAACAAATGCTCTTTCCTTGAAAGTGACTGACAACCAGAGCACAGTGACCTTCCCCAGGGCCCTGGATTCCCACTGCACACAGGACAAAACATGGGACCATCCCTGGGGGGGGGGCAGGTATGGGACACACCCCACCCCCCCGGGGACTGCACATGCCAAGGGAGTACTTTTCTGGGAGAATCTGAGGCCTTTGCCACTTTTCAGAGGTTCCCGCTCAGGGAAGGTGTAGGAGCCCTCAGGGGCACCTCTTACCTTCAAAGGCAGGGGCGAGCGGGGAGGGGTCGGAGCCGGGGGCCAGGCGGCTGACGGTCAGGTCGCTCTCGGTGCCCCCCCGTGGGTTCAGCATGCAGGTGTACACTGTGGAGCCTGCGCAGAGGAAGACCTGTCTGTGCCGGCCCGGAGCACGTGCGCGCTCAGCACAGGGCAGGGCACGCGAGGCTGGAGGACCGCGTGGCAGGGTGCCCTGGAAAGGCCCTCGCTCAGTGAGCCACCACACCTGCGAGGGTGGCCGAGG